TATACAGATTATAATTGCCACAATATCTTATAAGTTTCATTGTTATTTAATGACGTCGGTAAAACAACTGTGCAAATTGCAAAATAATATTTTCTTCAAAAATTTAACACTTATTCTATGAACAGAGGCAATTATCTACAGTTTATTTTGTATTTCGTAATATGAAATTATTTTCTTCATTTATCCCATTTATAAATTAAATATGTACAATTTTGTATAAACAACTGTTCAATATTTCGTGTTTAATTTTCAACTCCTTTCATATACTCACTTGTCGTCCAAAACCGAGTTTTTATTCCATTCGGATCGAAATTTACCGATTACGAGAAGGTTAAAATTGATTACGGGGAGGTTAAAAAAAGCCTGGCAAATCGAAAGAATTTTTCTCATTGAAAAACCACATCAAAAGAATTCTGGTCAAATCTCACAAAAGTGAAGAGTTAAAAAAGGTCTTCACTTTCTTGCTGGAAAACACCAGAAAATTCAAAAAAATACTGAGTAACTGCCAAGTTGATTTTACACCCTCCCCGATGCCCAGGTATGGTATTTACCATAATCAAACACCCGATTCGAATCTAATAATGATGTTGAAGCAGAAAAAAAAATAATTCATACAATTCACTTTATTCTGAGCTATTGAACAAAATAAAAGCACAGCCAATTCTTAGGCTTCGCATGTGATAAAACTGACGTTGAAAATTATATACTTTTTTTAGTTTTGGGCCATCCTACTAATCACCTTTTAAGCATAATAATAATTATTAACCTTTAAAATTAAACGGTCTCTTTCAAACAATGTTGAATTATCGAGCCCTGCACTATGGCGAACGTCGTGACAATGCATGAACGGCGTGATCTGTCATCGCACAACTTAACACAATACATTGTTTACAAGTCCACATGTACACGGGAACAACAACAAATTTGCCAGATCAACAGCAATTCACATCGAAAATTCAGAAGAAAATCTGTAAATATACATCTTTAGTATTTTAAATTATATTTTCTTTGTTATAATTACTGTAAATAATGTACGATATAACAGAGATCACAAATAAATCCGATTTTAAAGTGGTGGAACAGCAATTGACTGAACGATGGCTGGAGTTGGAGAAGAATTCCAATGCATTCCGATACAAATTGAATGTGCAGAAGCAGAAAACCCTCGATGGAAAATTCAATGCAATCGTACAGGTAAAAACAGTCGTTTAAGTTAATAAAACATTCTCCAAAAATAATAAGAATTTTTTTTTGAACATTTTCCATTGTAGTTGAACACCGAACGTACATCATTGCGACGTAAACCACAGGTCATCACATCAATCGTTCAGCCGTTCGACGAGAATGTATTTAATTTCAAAAAAGTGAACGAGTGTGAGATATTACTTCGATGCCACGATCAATTGAATGCGAAATCATCGGCCCCACATGGAATAGTGACGTTTTTGGTGAACAACAGCCCATTAACAAAATACCATTCACTGATTTGTCCGAGAGTAAACGAAAATCTGTCACAGATCATGAATAAAGAGTGCATTGAATTCGCCATTGACTTGATGACCGGTCTAGATGACCATGGCTACCGACTTGGCTATAATAGCCTGGGTGCATTTGCTTCGGTTAATCACTTACATTTGCATCTGATTCATGTACCAGAGAAACTTTACCTTGAAGATGCTGTGAGTATAAGCACGTTATCGTGATTATATACCAAAAATATCTCAAAATTTTTTTTCGCTACATTTATTCACAAAATCAAAACTAATTTCAGTAATATTTTTTTCTTTTTTTTTAGGAAATCATCGAAATGTCTGATAATGTATTCAAAATCGAATTTCCAACATTCGCAATGTGTATGCCGGTTTTTCACTGGACTGACAGAGAAGCTGTTGCCAACAAATTCATGAAAATAATTACATATTTTTGTGAAAAATCAATACCGCACAACATATTCATCACACATGGAAGACATCGCGATACAAATTTGGTGAAAATTTTTATTTTTCCACGGTCAAGTATGTCGGATAAACATGTCGCCTCGTTCAACATAGCATTTTGTGAATTGGTGGGATATGTTCCGGTTGGAGGTAATTTTAATTCAGATATTTTTTCAATATTTTCAAGTTAAATTAATGTGAATTATTTTCTTTCATTTAATTCCAGATGTCGACGTATATGAGAATCTTACGGAGGATTTTCTTCTCGATAAAATATCAACAGCCATTGGACCAATTGATCGTCAAGCGATTGAGGCTGATATCTTAAAATTGATATCGAACGACATCATAGATTGAAACTAGATTTAGAATTAAAAAATAATAAGCAAAAATCTATGGATTATTCTAATTTATTTAAAGCCAAATAGAGACGACTTGTCTAAAATAAGAAAAATATCAAAAGAAAATTATAGGCACATGAGATTTTTGGAACACCGGAATATTTCTCAAAAAAATCTTTTTATCCAAAGGAAAATTTTCCAGAAAATTTAATGATTTGTTGAAGAAAAATTCACAAATTTCGGAAAACGTTCATTAGGAGAGAATTTTTTTGGGAAATGTTCCGGAATTCGATATTTATACCATTTATTTGAAGTAGAATTTTGAAAAAATCTATGCATATTTTCAATGAGCAACTCTTATTAGCATGTATGTATGTAAGATTTTTAAAAGAGGTTCAATTTTTTTCATTCATCAAATAATCAAAAAATTAGAAAAAAATACGCTGGATCCATGCACTTTCCATTTTCTGGTAAGCTAACACGGCATCGACTAACTAACTGAAGACAAATTAAGCAAATTCAGTTGTGTTGTATGAGTTTTCATAAATTTAAATAATTTAAATAATTTCATTGATTTTGATCATTCTGAATATTTT